CGGTCAGGCCGCTTTCGGTAACCAGTGCCGTTCCGGTCGTATGTTCGCCCCTACCAAGGTCTGGCGCAAGTGGCACCAGAAGGTCAACGTTGGCCAGAGGTATGATGAGAATCCGACCGATGAGGCAGAAGGAGAGGAACTAATAGCTTTTTCTTAGACGTTTCGCTACTGCCTCTGCCCTCGCTGCTTCTTCCGTTCCTTCTCTTCTGTTCGCTCGCGGTCACCGCGTTGCCAACGTTCCTGAGGTCCCTCTGGTCGTTGACTCCAAGACCTTCGAGAACTCCGCTGTTACCAAGACCAAGGCCGCCGTTGCCCTCCTCCAGGCTGTCGGTGCCGGTGCCGACCTCGTCAAGGTCCAGAAGTCCCGCAAGATGCGTGCCGGTAAGGGTAAGCTGAGGAACCGCCGCTTCCGCCAGCGCCGCGGTCCTCTGGTTGTCTACAACCCCGAGGTTGATGGCAAGGACCTTGTCCGTGCCTTCCGCAACATCCCCGGTGTTGAGACCTCCTCCGTCTTCTCCCTCAACCTCCTCCAGCTCGCCCCCGGTGGTCACCTCGGTCGCTTCATCGTCTGGTCCTCCGCTGCTTTCGAGGCCCTCGACAAGGTCTACGGCACCACCACCACCGCCTCCGCCCTCAAGAAGGACTACCTCCTCCCCCAGAACGTTGTTGCCAACGCCGACCTGGCCCGTCTCATCAACTCTTCTGAGATCCAGTCCGTCCTCCGTGCCCCCAAGGGTGAGGCTCGCACCAAGCGCACCAACATCCAGAAGAAGAACCCTCTCCGCAACAAGCAGGTCATGCTCCGTCTCAACCCTTACGCTGCTGCTTTCTCCAAGGAGAAGCTCGGCCAGCAGACCGTTGAGTCTGCCAAGCCCGAGCGCGCTTCCAAGGACTTCCTCAACACCCTCTACGAGGCGTAAGTTAGAGGTCCGGGGTTTCACGCTGGGAAGGTATGATATGAGATTGTTTTCGGTTTAAAAGGTAGCACCAATGAACAGGTTCGCAATACCCATAATGAATTAGTAGTTTTTATGAAGTAGCTTTTCAGTAGCTTCACAGTAGCTTTCCATAGACATCTCTCGTAGTGCTTTTCTACCTGACATGGTTTCTGAGATCAACGAACCGACTCCATTGATATGCTCGGTATCTCTTGTACTTCCAACCCCTATCCATACACTTAAATGCCTACGTCAACAGAAGAAAAATAATAGCATTGATTTTGATGCACCACCCAATCTGTACCATCAACCCAGTCATCCTGCACTACAGAGTATGACCCAGCAAACAATCAGCAGTGCATAATCTCCTATACAGTACCCAGAAATACACCTGTCAATCACTCAAATCCCCATATTTGGTCAATTATCACATCTAACTAACCCGGCCTACTATCTATATATACCCCTGCTATAACCAAGGATGACCAGCCCAAGTCAATCACAAACAAGCAAACATGTGAACACCTATGCCACACTACTTGATTTCCTAGTTATTATCGCCGAACTGACCCGAGGGTTGCTTCTTGTTTGTTATTTGCTGTTTACCGGTATAGGATAGTAAGTAGTAAGTACTAGTAGGTAGTTGGGGTTTGGTACAGCTGGGAGGTACTTTCACATGATAATGTGTCACTATGGAAAAAATTTGACCACAACTGAACAGTTACCACTTAGTTACCTTTACTAACCAATATCAACACGGCAGTACCTAGTATCCAACTAATTACTAACTTACTTTACTACAATATACTTCCGTCCGAAGATATCACTAACCAGTTACATCAAGCGACTAAATAATACGTAAGTAGTCAATAGTAAGGTAACTGTCGGTTCGGGACTTGCATCGGGATATATAAATACCCACATTACTGGACTGCAACTACTACTGTCTAGACGAACGGACACGGACCTTTAAAAAGTTAGTTAGTTAGTTAGTAGTTCTGCTTAACTAAGGTGGCTATGTTTTGCTGCAGGCAACATCAATCAATTACTACTAAGCTATATTAGTAGAAAGTCAAATACAAGACAGTCCAAAGTTTATATATATTATTTTGAAACCGATGGAGCAGAAGCAGCTGCATCATGCCACCTGTGACAATTCCTCATGGGTTCAGTTACTATTAGTTATTACTCACCATCACCCCTGTTAGTAGGGATCTAAATTACAGTAGGATAGGATATGACAGGTGGTAGTTAGGTACAATGGGCATTATGATACCGTAGTAGTTTACCGCCCCAAATGTCACTACTACAATGCACAACAAATACTTAAGTATACATACTCACATACTGAAATATATAGTAGGGCTTTCGATACTACCATCAACCCCAGCAATAGGGTAATAGTTTATCCAAATTATCCTCAAGATGGTAATTAATTATCTAGTCCTTTAAATTCTCACAACATAACAAACTCAACTAACTAACAAATCAATCACATCCTGGTCGCAACTACTACCCGAACTTGACTTACTAACGCACTTTAGTACGGAGTCAATGCCTTAGATCCTCTCCCCTTCCAACTAATCATTAGCATTTACAACTACTGCAACATCATTCCCTCCCAACAAATCATATCTCTCATGTGCATTTGCGCAGAAGGGTTAGTCTGGTGCTTTTGTTTGACAGGGGGGTGGAATCCATATGCCTTCCTTCCTTCCTTCTTCCCACTCCGTTGGTCCGTCGGTGGTGTGCCTCTCTCTGTCTTTTGCTTTGGTCGGACGGAGGTCGGAGGTTATCTGGGGCGACAGCTAACTAGTACTTAGTATCTATCTATCCTAGTATTAATTATTCTTGGTGGATGGCTAGATGAGCCCGGTTAGATCCGAAATGAACTTACAGTTGCTTTGCTTACTACTAATTTATCTAACAGAACTATCCTGGTTATTAGTAGGACTTGTATTATTATTATTATAATTTGGAGTTGTTATTGTAAGGCGTTATTAGGGTGATTTTGGCTGTCAGTAGTGGTGGTATTGTCTGACTACCATTATTTATGCGTCGATTCATTAGCGATGGACATAACTTAAGTACGTAAGTACTAATATTTATGAATATGAATATAAATATGAACAATCATCATCATGACGGATTCTAGATATCTGTCCATATCCATCCACCTCTCGGTCGCGTACATACTACTCACTTAGGTACGTACTACGGTAGATACTTGAAACTGCAGATCAAATTAACACGCAATACTTTAACGAGAATAAAAAAAAATAAAAATAAAAAATTATGAAAAAAAGTTATAAGTCTATGACATAGTCAATACATACTAGCTACGGATGAAGAACCAAAAACCGATAAGGATCATCAAACACAAAAAAAAAAAAAAAAAGACTCATCGGCATTTGACCTGATCACGGCAAATGGGCAAAAAAGTTCAACTTTCCTTCCTCGGGGCCCGCGGTGACCCTCTCCTCTCTCTCCACTTTTCACTGCGTATATAGTAAGTATTAGGTAGTATCTATTCTATCTACTTATGGTGTGAGTTGCGAGGTAAATATGAGTAAGCAAGTAAGTAAGTTAAGTGTCAAGTCACACGTAAAAGGTATGTTTCACAAGCTTGCTTGCTTGATTTGAATCCCGCTCGGCTTTTCCGCGATTTTCAAACTCATTTTTTTGACCGGGGGGTTAACAGCGCGTGCCAAGCCCCTCTGTTACGTATGTTAGTGGTTCGGCTCGGTCCACACTTTTGTTTCTCTTACTCTTTCTCTTTCTTCTTCTTCTTCTCTTTCGTTCTCGTAGAGGGGAAGGGGAAAGAAACTAAGGGGGTACGAGGGGTTATTATATCATAGCATTTTCATCATGCTTATATTAGACTGAAGGATAAAATGACTCTCACATGCTAATTGGGGGGTTGTTTGTATATAGTTGGTATAAATGTATTGCGGGACATCCGGATATTTAGTGTAGGCTTAGGTTTCTTATTATGTCTCTTATTATATTATTTTATATTATAACGTAGTATCGGGCGTTATTATTATTATTCCTGCGGTGCGCTTATATTACCTTATTAAGTTCTTGTAGGTAGAGACACACCTGAGGGATAAAAATCGCTTCAATATACTCGGTTGGGTGTGGTTCAGGGACGACCTTCCTAACTTTTCTTCATTTGTATCGCCGGAAGAGAACCTAACTTTAGCACTTCCGGCCGAGCACAGTACACCATGTACTTCGTACTTTGTGTCATGATTTCTCAGGGATGATGGATGGCGTGGATAGTAGCTTAGCTTCTCCCGGTCCATGCTTCCTCTGATAGCCGAGGTGGTCGACCCTTATTCTTTCCTTCTTTTTTTTTTTCTTTTTATTTATTTTTTCCCCTTCTCAAAATTTACCTTCGGCCAACTTTCAAGGGCCCGTAGTTCGTGGGATTCCCAGTCAGCATAACTTGAAACTCACACCTTATCGACCGATTCGGTTTAACTTCCGGAGTGATTGAGCAAGCGAGCCTTCATGATTCAGGACGCCAGACACGCTACCATGGACTATTGATCCTCAACGACCCCCACCTCATCCCACTTTGGCGCCGCGGCTACAACAAGCTTTTGGGCTAAAACAGTCGCCTGCAGCCTGTGATGTGATGGTCGGGGTGGCAATATCATTAGCATATGTCGGGTGTACGTACCTGTGATGCATCTCGCACTGCTCGCCTACTATTAGCGTAGCGGTTGCGTCGCTGCCGGGGTGTTTTGCATACTGGGTGGTAATGATGATGGATGAATGGGGAGGGGAGGGGGAGTGGGATCGACGGACGGGTTTTGTCGGGTGGAGTGGATATGTCTTCGGCCGGAGATGGCGCCTGCGAAGTTGGAGTAAGTAGTATCTAAATTGTAAGTAGTTAGACTAGTATCTGTCTGGCTCGGTGTTATTATTAGTTGATAATGAATTGAATAATGCAACCTTACTTTGCATAGTTTGCCTGCCAAAAAGGATGACCGACGGACGGACACAATGCTGAATGTAATTGATGCGATATTTATTCGTTCTTGAGACACCAATATGCGACGACACAAGCACACTGTCTCACCCCCTCCGGCGCTAGTTGATCCTATCGGAGAAGACCCAGGGGGTTCCGGATATGGACTCCGACCATTACGGCCGGTCGCTGAACAGAGAGCATCCTCCGTCCCTCTGGACTGGTCCTTGTTTAGCCCTAGTGCCCCCCCTCCTCTCCCTTCCCCCTTCGTTGTTGGGTGTATGGGCAAGATGGCCGTGGCGAATGTGACGGCGGAGATTGGCATTACAGATGTGGTAGATCCTGGTGCCGAAGGATGCCGGTGAGACACTAGAACTTTAGGGTGCAGGACGTTGGAGTCGGTTATTTAGCCCACAGACCAGACCAAACCAGTTAACCAGTAACCACAGTATATCTTAACAGACTACTGTTGGGTAGTTGTGTGCTCTCCGATGATAACCACCACCCTGTCGGGGCAAACTACCGTGCCCTCTGCCTTATGGCTATATCTCCGTCCGTTATTCCGCTACTAGCAGGGCGAAGGAGTGGTTCCGACGGGGACGGAGGGCAACAATGTCCACTTAAACTCCGCTCAAACTAGGTGCGGGAAAGGCATAGGCCGTGTTCCCTCCTTAGTATCTCATATATTAGGCGGGAGGTCAGGGCGAGAGCACGGTTGCTGTCATCCTTGTAAGGGAACCAATATGAGATGCGTCGTGGGGAGGGGCAGTCTCCCGTCCACATCCCATCTGTTGCGACTTGCGAGTTACTTCGTCCATAGTATCATCCTTGAGGGATGAGAAGGCCCTAGCAAGTTTTTACTTGCATCGGAATGCTGGAACGCCCGGCAAGCCCGCCCAATCTCGGGTTATGTTCGGGAAAACACAGATCTGATCTAATCGCACCAATCAGTGGGTGATGCCGCGGGTTTTTCCAGCACTGGGCGTTCGGCATATGAAAGAGTAGGGTGTCAATATTTGGAGTAGGCAATCTCAAGGCAACCCGGTTAGATTATTGCCCGTGATTTTTAAATTGATTAAATTTGCTTTACCCCCCCCTCCCCTCCTTCTTACTTCATTTCCGGTTGGCGCCAACTGTGGGATCGGTGGGCGAGATCGTATGATAGTACTTTAGACTTTGCTTAGCACGGCCGTAGGGTGAGAGCCTCCGGCCCACTGTTGGAGGGGTGGGATTGGCTTTTCAAGAGGCCATCCATGTTCCTGGCTGGGTGTTGTCGATGCTGAAGATGACAGAAAGTCTGCAATACATCTCTTGAGACACGGGAAACAAAAGACTCGTCAACATTCCGCATGGCCTTCGGGATAGGGTTTTCCGCGAATAAAAATCGCTATCCAGTCAGTCGAGGCTGGACCGTCAAGCTGTCTGCTACACACTTGACGGTGCAGATCGGATCGCCCGAAGATGAGACAAATCCGACATCCCTCCTTGGACCAAACGGGCGTTGTTCCCGGCGGGCCACAAACCGTTACAGGAGACACCAAACTCAAAATCCCAGCCAGCAGCAGCAGCAGCATCAAAGTAGCCTATCTAGCCAAATGCATCGATATTAGCCGCCCCAGCGACAAGACTAACACGAAACAGAAAAAGAAAAACAAGAGAAAAAAAAATTCAATCAAATTAAACCAAAAAGAAAGAAAGAAAGAAGACTCACTACTCAGGTCAGAAAAATGAAAAACCGTGGCCCTCCGGCTCGCAGACCCTCATCTGTCCGTTTTCCGGATACGCCCAGTCCACTTGGTTCGCTAGTCCCCACGAATGACAGGCTTGCGATCCTCGATGGGCTGAGGGACTGCTGCGAACTTGGGAGGCTGTTCCTTGTACCCTCTCCTGGGCTTTGCTTCTCATCCTTCTCATCTTTTTCCCGGCTTGGAGTCAATGCTCCACTCGCGTAAGGACGGACTACGGAGGTTTCCGTACTGGCCACTAGCCAAACGATAAGCTGGTGGATTTTGAGCCCTCGGGGGGAGTCGCAGTGCTTGCTCACCCTGGCTGGCTGTGGGAGTCTGTAGTGATCTCTCTCCTGAACACACTGATGAGGTTGTTCGTCCGAGTTTGGTCAGTCCGGCCGAAACAAGTCGGCATATCCAGTGGCCCTCTCGGACGGGGGATTTCTTTCTTGTTGCCAGCCTGGCTCTTTCCTTCATGTGCGGATCTTTTTTTCCAATTTCTGTTTTGAATTTTTATTTGATTTTCAATTTATGTTATTTGTCCTCTTTTGTTTTTATTTTTCTTTTTACTACGGTAATTGATTAACCATTGCCCACTACCTCCTCTCCTGCCCTCCTCTAACCGGAGCCCCCTAATTAGGGCGATGACTTGCCAAGTGTGCACTATGTCGGGGTTGGCAACTTTCATAGGGCCCAAAATCCAGTCTTTCCGCGTTGGCCTTCTCTTGCATTCCGAGTATGGGAACGGACGACTAAGTAGTGATGAGCCTCGCAAGTTTGCTGCACACCATGATGACTGCAACGGCAAGAGATACTTAGTAAGAAGGAACAGACGCATTGTCCCGATCAAACGAAACAAGGTTAATTGCAACTGCCGTTCCGAAAAGATTGTGCTTGTCCCGTGGTCGGTGGTCGCATGAGCGTCTCCTACCCATGACTAACGGCTGGAGCTGGCAATGGATCGTTCCGAACACCAACGAGGATCCTCCTGCGGGGCGTCGGGTTGGAAAACCTAATCATGCTCATATTAAAACAGATTCAAAGCCGGCCAGTGTCAATAAGGAGAGACCACCTGCCACCCACAGCTACCCTCCCAAAGACCAGATTGAGAAAGGATGCCGGAGAGTCTGACGATATCTAATACCGACCCGTTCCAAAGTCTAAATGCCACCTTGCTCCTCCATGGCATGATTACGCTGGAGATGAGGACCAGGGAGGCGGCGATGATGATGATGATGATGAATCTAGATAATCAACTATTGAAGGACTCTCGGTAGATTTGATCTCAGCCGGCACCTAATATGAACCGCGCCCGGTGGCAGTATCCTTTTGATATACCCGGGCCGGTCATGACGACTGTCGACACACTGCCAGGGAGGATTTATCTAACTACGTACCATCTATTGAAAGGTGAATAAACTGGATGTAATCATTAATTGCCCGATGGATGGACGGACGCTTCGCGTCTCCGTTGGGAGTGGAGCTGGTCGAAGCTGAACCGAGGATGCAACTGAAAGTTGAATGCCGAAGGGGACAGAGGGAGGAAACTTCCGGCCCGCAGTAAGAATAGTTCGATAGTAGGGTGTATACTACTCTGGGATAAAGTAAACACGATCCAGAGCATCTAGACTATCTAAGATGCCAGATAGTACGGGTTGATTGGGTGGGTTGGGAGGGCCTCCGTTAAACCGGAACTGTTGCGAAAAGTGGACTGGCAAGCGTTGGAACTAAACCAGGCTGGAATTGTGAACCAGGCTTCGTTCTCTCTGTGTGTGATCATCCTGATCTGGATCGGTCATAAGTTGCCTTTCCATTAAATATGCTCAACTTGCTGAGCTTGAATGGCAGATAGACGGCCAGGCACTGACTGGATTATCGTATCATCCTCTCCTCTCTGCTCTTCTTCTTCTTCTTCTTCTTCTTCTACTACTACTACTACTACTACCTCTTCTCTCTTTATTGTCTCGCTCCTACTCAACCGACTCCTCCCTCTTATTCCTCCTGATCCCCTTTCTTCGTTCTCTCGTTCCTTTTCTCTGCCTTCTGCCCCCCTTTGATTCCCACTCATTTCAGGGACCGTGATTCTTATTACTATTCAAAAATCCCCGATCCTCCCCGCTCTAAATTAATCCCAGCGTGTCCCTCCTTTGAACCTGGCGTCTCCGCCCCTCTACCCTACTACTACTTCTACTTTACTACTACAGTCCTTAGCACCGGCCAAACCTGACAGGGGCATTCCCACCTTGGCCTCGACTAAGCAACAGCGCTATTTAACCACAATTGCTCCATCCTCATCCTATCCAGTGCCCCGCGCTATCAGGCTTTTTTATTTTTTATTTTTTTTCTCATTTGGTGCAAACTGGCTGTCCAGCTCAGGGCCCAATATTATTTTTTTTTGTTTTTGCCCTTTCTACTCCTCATTAGTGGCAGGAGCCGTTCGGCCAACATCAGGCCAGCTTGACCACTGACCACTGACCAACTGAACCAACCAAATTACCTCGGAGCGGCTCTTGCAGGGTGATTTAGTTGATAATACTACTACACTCCCAAGAGATCTGTAATCTGGGCGGTTGTCTTCCGGGGCTGCTGGTTAGTTTAGTTGTTTATAATTCTTGGCCTACCTGCACCCCCCCCCTGGGGCACTATCAGCTCAGCAACAAACAGCCTGGTTTCCATGCTAGTGTTGTCGTGACTCTAAAACCCTGCCCTGCCACGGTCCTGCCATTGCACTCTTCCGCCCCCATCCTTCTCCCTGTCCCATCTGAAACGGAGACTGCTGCGCATCTCGGTTTTGTTGTCTGGTACACACAAAACTTACCTGTCCCCTCTCAGCGATTCTGGTCTGGCGAGAACCCAACAGTGTTGCAGATTACAGAGACTTTACTTCTTCTGCACGGTTCTATGCGTTTTGTGGCAAACATTGGACCTGTGAAGTGATACAGTCTTGGAATGGCGAGGTCGACCCGAATTACAAGCGTGTTACGGTCATTTGCGCCATGAGTATCATCCTTTAGATGCTACCTTCGTTCTTCCCCCATTTACCCGCAACCAGTGCAGGGTAACTCGCAAGTGAGCCCGCTTGATGCGGACTTAATCCTGTCATTGCAGAATCTCCATTCTTTGAACGGCAATTTTCGAGTGTGTAATCTGTTTCAGCCCTTCAGCCCTCCAGCCTTTCCTGTTCTCACCTCCCCGGCCGGGCAGCGATCGACCTACTATTTACGGAGGGGCAATCGTGCTTCTCGAACGGCGAACCCAGAAACAAGCTACAACACCAACCCTTTTTTTTCTCTTATTAGCATCAAAATTGTATTATTTGCTGGCCTGCTGATAGTAGTGTCTCCTTGAATCTGAACGGCTGGAGGCAACTTGGTAGGTTGACACGCCTTTTTTGGAAAATATCGAGTACGATGACGTGGTTGCTAATCCCCTTCCCATCTTGGTAGGCTCGCTTTCTACACTTCTCCTCTCCTGAAGTACGAGGATTCACCGGTCAAAGCCAAGAAGCCGTTTCTGTAGGGGCTCTGCCTCGTTATCACAGGACCCGAGTCGCGGATTCTGATGCAGTCCGGCGGGATTTAGGTGCTACCCTCAAATAATTCTGGACACCATAGTCACCCACAATGTCTGCTTTCCCAGCGGGATCCTTCAGCAACATGTCGCCTGCTATAGATTCCACGTCGCAGCGACAGTCTGATCGCCCAACTGA